TTTGGGGTACTGTGAAGAGAGAAAGAGGGGAGAGAGAGAGAGAGAGCGGAGAAGAGGGAAAAGGAGGGGGAGAAGAGGGGAGGGGAGGAGAGGAGGAGAAAGGGGGATGGGAAGAGGAGAGAAGAAAGAAACTTTTATTTAAAAAAAGAATTATCAGCGTCAGCACTCAACTTCCACATGGCTGCCCCTGGTTTGAGTCCTGGACCAGGCAGTTTGAAAATCACACCAGGTGTGTGTGTGTGTGTGTGTGTGTGTGTGTGTGTGTGTGTTGGGGACGGGGGTGCCTAAAATCTCAGGAAGACAATGGAGAAGGGACTGTGGCATGGCCATCATCCATGGAGGGGGGTGATTTCTCACTTTCCTTCTCTCTGTCTCTGATGAGCACATGTGCCCAATGGTAAAAACCTTAAAAAAGAGAGAGAATTATCAATCAATGAAAATGGAGCTAGCCTCATATTCTAATCCACAGTTGCCATAAATCAAAGAAACTGTCACATTGAGGAAACGACTCCCACACGCCTGCAATTCCCTCATTTATTCTGCCCCTATTACAAACCTACAAGGCTCAAAAAAACTTTCACGTTAAGAAAAGGGCTTTCGGGACCAGCAGTTAGCGTAATGGCTATGTCACTGGACTCCCACGTAGTCGACCACGGTTCGCGTTCCAGACCCAGGACTTAAAACTCACACCGATCACGTGTGTGTGCGTGCCTAAGATCCCGAGAGGAGAATGGAGGAGAAGGGATTGTGGCGTGGCCATCCCCCCTGGGGGTGATTTCTCGCTTTCTGTCTCTCTGCCTCTCTCTGTCTGTCTGGCGAGCACACGTGCCCTATAGCGAAAACCTTGATAAAAAAAGAAAGAAAGAAAAGAAAAGGGCTTTCAAATTTTTCAAATTATGTATCTTTTTTTTTTTTTGGAGAGATTTTCACTGTAGGGCGCGTGCGCTCGCCAGACAGACAGAGAGAGACAAAGAGACAGAAAGCGAGAAATCACCCCCCAGGGGGGATGGTCACGCCGCAATCCCTTCTCCTCCATTCTCCTCTCGGGATCTTGGGCACGCACGCACACGCGCCCGGCGTGAGTTTTAAGCCACCGGGTCCTGGACACGAACCGCGGTCGACTATGTGGGAATCCAGCGACATAGCCATTACGCTAACTGCTGGTTCCCATTTTTTAACCTTTTCTATAGAGCACATGTGCTTACCAGAGAGAAAAAGAGAGAGAGAAAAAGAAAGTGAGAAAGCAAACTGCCAAGTCCAGAACTCGAACCCTGGTTGGCCATGTGGCAATTCAGTGCCTTAACCACCATGCCACTGCTGGCCCCAAGCTCTTAAATTTTTTAATCATGGGATCTCTTTGCATTCTTAAAAATGATTGAGGACCTCAAATTTGCACTTGTTTATTTAGATATCTATATATATTTGAGATATTAGAAACTAAATCCAAAAAGATATACATTTATTCATTCATTTTAAAATGATAATAATAAGCCTACTACATGTTAACATAAATAACATTTTTATCCAGCCCCATAAGGATTCAATAAATAAATTCATCCCTGGTTGGATTCAGGTGAAAGCTTTTATCAGCCCTGCAAAGTCTCAAAGTATCCCTATAAGTTTTCTTTAGCAGTGTCAACAAAAAACAACCAAAGCGTCAAAAGGCAACAACTGACCAAAAAGAAAAGAAAAAGAGAGAGAGAAAAAACCAAACAATAAACTCAGACCATAGGAGACAGAGAGAGAGGACCTGCTTCTGGGGCAGGTGAATTTGCTTGCCATTGAAAGAAAGATAAGGAAGGCATTTTAATATTCTGGCCTTAAGAATAATGAGAATGTGTGACTTGAACCACGCCTGCTTCGACCTTATGAGCACTGAGTTAAAGAAGCTGCTTCCAGTACCCTAGAGTGTCCTAAGAGATTGTAGTCATGGATCCTCAACCTTGAAGCAGCACACAGACAATAAAACTCTGTGCTAAATTGTTAACTATCGTGAAGCATGTAAATCTTAGAAAAACAATTTTGTACGTTCCTCTCTGTTCCCCTTTGTTATAAACGAAGACCCCAAATCCTGCCCTTTGGGAACGTGAGCTGTAGCTTGCTGAAGACCTTGCCCCAGGTAGCTGGCTTCACGTCTTTTGACTTGAACAAACTGCTTGCTTCATAGGCTTGGGTCAGACCTCTTTATTCCCAGTTGACAATTTCTGCTGCTCACTGGGACTGCCCTGGTGGGTTTGACCTGTAAACTCCTGGGGAAATTTTTTTAAAAACTCCAATGCCTCATCCCACTTCCCAAGACTGGACTGCAATGGCCCTGGGGTGGATCCCCACAAGCGTTTGTATTTAGCAACCACGGTCCAGGCCTCAGGGATTGGCTCCACACCTGGCCCTCTGGACTGGGCGCAGAGCACCAGGGCATCTTCCCTGGCCTGGAGCAGAGCGTCAGTCACGCTGGCAGGATTCGGCTCTCCCCCGCCCCTCAGAGCGCACCTGCCCTCGCTAAGCCCACTGTCATCTGCAAACGGTGGGACCCGCTGCGCGGCTCCGGGTATGGGAAGAAATCAGCATTCCAGTTACCTTTGCAAGGTTTACTTGTGTGGCTATCGTCGAGGCTTGGGCACTGCCCGCCCAAGAGGGCCGGTAGGAGCCCCAAAGACAAGCGTGAGGTCCCCTTGCCTAAGAGCGAGCCCAAAAAGGGGCCGGCTACCGGTTCGCCCCAGCAAAAGCAGCTTCGCGGTAGGCATGGCCCTCATCGCTCTCCCTTACAGGCCGGCATGCTTCCCACGGTCCCGCCGGCGCCCTGGCAACTGCGGGGTCCCTTGCAGACTGCTGTCATAGAGCTGCGATACCACCGAGCTCCCGGCGGCGGGGAGGGCGGGCTCTAAAGCCACCGACGCCACGCCCCTTCGGCAGAATAGGTGGGGCCGGGCTATAGCCGCTTTTGTGGGGAAAGGAAAGCGAAAAGGGAAAAGGTTGGAAGAGCTTGGAAGCTCGGTTGAGGCACCGCTGGGATTCGAACCCAGGATCTCCTGTTTACTAGACAGGCGCTTTAACCAACTAAGCCACGGCGCCGCCCGCACAACTAACGCGAGAATCTGGTCCCCATCACTATTTACGCGTTTGACCGCGCGCATGCGTACAGGGTTTTTGCCCAGTTTGGGCGCAGGCGCGGTAGAAGTTTTTGTTTCTCGCGCAGCCTAGACGTCCTGGTGGGACGCGGAGACCGGAAGTTCGGGCCACAAGTAGCAGGCGGGGCCTGGGTGGACAGTGCTTTGGGTCTGCGGGGGTACCTGCTGCCGCCGGCATCTGAAGTACCGACATCTTTGGGGATTGCTAGAGCAAGGGCCAAGCTTATTGACCTGCAGAAGTGGCACAGGGAAGCGCGGCGGGGTTGCTGGCTCCCTAGGCGTCAGGTCGGGGCACACCCCTCGGACTCCCCTAAGCCTCGAATCCATCTGCCTGAGCTGGCAGGCGATCCTGCCCGCCCCTGGCCCAGGACTGCAGCTGAGCCACTTCTCTCTGACCCTGAGTCTTGGGTATTGAGGGGGCCTGAACAGGCACAGGGATCACGCAGTGGCCAAGGCGTCCAGGCTTTGTGTGGGGAGGGTCCTGATGCCAGAGCAGGCCCCCTAGGCCCCTCGTTACCTAGGCTTCTCACTTGTCCCTTCTAGGTCACCTTCTCAGGCACACTGGCCACATTCTACCAGCACTTTCAGAGGGCCTTTGGGCTACAGTAGAGCCAAATACCGCTCACCCATCTACCCAGCACCACCACCAACCCCCCTGCGGGAGTCCATCTCCAGAAATAGAGGTCCACACAAAGGAAAGTTCATTTCAGTACCAGAGGACTTAAAAAGTTAGTGGTAAAATAAAAGTACCAGTTCATCTGGTTGCAAAAATAAAATGAAATCATGCATCGTTTTTTCAAATCCATGCATGGTTCATTTTCTGTGAACTTGCTACAGACCCCTGGTGTTACTTGTAATAGTGACCTAAGTGCCCACGGACCAGGGCAGCCAAAGTACCTGCAGTGTAACTAACCATCCTGCACAGCGTGGGCATAGATCATTTAGGCGTGTCTTCACTATGGGAGGCTTCAGAACCAGCTGGAGGAGGGAGGCCACTCACAACAGGACTTCTCTGCAAGGAGACCCCAGTTGCTAGGAGGCCGTGTTCCTACATCATCCATGTAAATCAATGGATGGATACTTAACAGCCCACTTAAATCTGAACAGTCTCCACCCCACCCCCACCCCCCCCCCCACCCCCAAGATTGTGAATGATGAGGACAGCAGCAAGCATGGAACCTACCCAAGTAAGGCTGACCAGGTTATGGTGCTTACACGGAGAATTATGGGATGCCAGACAACTGACAATATACAAATCCATTCTGCAGATGACTTGTTTAAGTGAACCAAGGAGCACAGTCATCATATTTATAAAGACAATCTCGTGAGCCATTCTGAACAGAAAAGGGGGTTCTTCATGTTGACTGAAAACTTCACTTTTTCTGAGTTGACTTGTGTCCTGTACTGTGGAAGCAGGAGCTCTGCATCGGCCTGGATATTCTGGAAATGGAGAAGTCTGGGGACGAGAACATGGAACATTTGGTGGTGGAAATGCCACCAGCACTGTCTTGCCTAACCAGACATTCCTCTGACCTGGGCAGGTGGCCATTGGGAGCTTTAGCCAGGAAGATCCCCACAGGGCCTTCCCATCCTTGTCCACAGACAGGGCCCCACATACCTTCATATTCATGACATACCCACTTTGGAGCTACTGGTACCAGCCTCCAAGAGCCGCCTTACAGGGCAACTGTAGACTCTAGAATGTGCATCCATAATGTGTCCCAGAAATGAGACAGGGTGGACAGCAGGACAGAAAGTCTAGAAATCACAGGCACATTTGTTTTCCAAAGGTATCTAGATTTATTTTGCGTGAAAACTAAAAAAATTAAGTGTTCACTCCCCAAGGGTGCTGTGGAGCCCAGGAGGTGGCAGCACTGTGGTGAGAACCCAGCCAGGAGTCAGCACCCCCCCATGCCCACCTCCACCCCCCCGCCCCGTCTCAGAGGCCCACTCAGCTGGGATGGGCCCAAGAGAAAGTTCCGTACAGAGCCTGCCTTCTGCACAGGTATACTGATAAGTCACGCAAGGGAGGGGCTCAGTGTCCAGTTCTCAGTCTTCCAATGATGAAGCTGCTTCCAAGTTCTTTGCGTCCATCCGGCAGAATACACATTTGGAGAATATTTCAGAAGAGGTGTTGTTTTCGAAGATGGAGAAGGGCTTGTCGCAACCTTCACACTGATAGAAAGTTTAAAAGGGGAACCAGCAGTTAGCGTAATGGCTATGTCGCTGGACTCCCATGTAGTCGACTGCGGTTCGCGTCCCGGACCCGGTGGCTTAAAACTCACACCCGGCGCGTGTGCGTGCGTGCCCAAGATCCCGAGAGGAGAATGGAAGAGAAGGGATTGCGGCGTGACCATCCCCCCTGGGGGGTGATTTCTCGCTTTCTGTCTCTATGTCTCTCTCTGTCTGGCGAGCGCATGTGCCCTATAGTGAAAATCTCTCCAAAAAAAAAGTTTAAAAGGGCAGACATCAGACACCCTCAGAGGGGATCAAGGCATGACATTCTAATTCTCCCACCTGATCCAAGTACCTGGGGTGGGGCCAGGGCCAAAGCACCCCTCTCTGGAGTCTCTGACCCCACAAAGGTGGAAATGACAAGCTACTGAGGGAGAATGAGCACAGGCTTCCCTCCCGTCCTCCTCAGATGCTAAGCTCAGGTCCCTTCCTGCCTTGGGGATTAGCAGAAATGTCAAGGGGTAGGGTCAGCCCTGTCCACTGCTCTGTGCAGAGCAGAAGTGTGGGACCAAGGGGCTGTCCTGACCTCCTGACATCACAGGGACACCTGACGTTTACAGCAGTTTGAAAAGTACATAGGTGGGGCTGGCAGGGGGCATGAGGGTTAAGGCTGAACTCTCTCACATGGCTGACCACGGTTCAAGTCCTACATCTAGCAGCTTGCTTTCTCTCTGTCTCTCTGTCTCTCTCTCTGGTCAAATTAAAATAACAGCAATAATAAGTAAAATAAAGTCTTTAAATGAAAAGAAACGCAAGTAGACAAGATTTCTGAACAAAGTAGGGATTTCAACCAGATTGATGTAGGTGCTGGCCACTCTCCTCCATCCCCGAGCCTGGTCTTGGCCAGAGAACACAGGGACGTGAGAGCGGAGGGCATGGCTCACCTACCACGCTGCTTCTCAGTACTGAGTGGCTGCACGGGGGCACTGCCAGGGCTTCCCACCATGCATGGTCCCCTGAGACGACTCTGCGTGGTGGCGTACCCTGCTCGGGCACTCCAGGCCTCAGTGCTTTGCCTCTCCAGGGTACACGAGCCTGCTGGAGAGGTGGAACACACCCTGGCTAGGGCAGGCCCTCAGGGAAAGTGGACTCTGAGGTTTTTCAGATTCGGGACAGGTCAACCTTGTTACAATGTCAGGTAGGTCTTTTAGTCTTTTTTTTTTTTTTATAAGAAAGAAATTAGATTTTTTACCGAGTTTATTCAGCAGCTCATTTCCCATGGTCTAAGCCCAGAACAACAGGACTCAGGGAAGGGGCAGTTCCTGGGCCCTGGGACATGATGGCAGGTGGTGGACAGAGACAATTGCTCCAAAGCCAGGCAGCTTCATTGATCTAAGGGCCAACCCGGCCACAAAAACTAAGTCCATGTGGGTCCCACCCCTCAACACCCCACACACACCCCGTCTGGCAGCTCTTTCACATTAGCTGTTCCCTGAAGTGGTGGCTCCCAGCTGGACCCTCTGAGAGGAGCCTGGTCCAGGTGGCTCCAGGATTCTGAGGGAAGGAGGACTCAGGGGGGCCCAGCGTCTGCTCCTCAGCTCTCTGAGGCAGCTGCGAGGTGAGTCTGCAGTGAGGCCCCAACAGGACTGACCTTCACTGCTCAGAGGAACACAGGCACCTAAGCATGGGAAACAGGCTCTGGGGGCTACCCAGGGGCTCTGCAGCTGGAGTACAGGAGGCCCCACAGAGTCCAGGTGTGTGCCTGACCCTGCCTCCACTGCCTTCATCTCTCACTCCTCCTCACCCACTCCACACCTCAGACACACCAGGCTTCCTCTGCCTCAGGAGCTCTGCACTGGCTAGTTCCTCAGCTAGGAAGTTTTTCCTCTAAGTATCCACACAACTCCCTCCTAGTCACCTTCACATCTGAGCAAATGTCACCTTCTCGGTGACCCCTGTTCTGATCACCCTTTGCTTTTCTCAGTGATAGAAAGCATGTGTGTGCACACCAGCGAGAGGGAAAAAAGCACCCTCCACAGGGTATTGTCATTCCATGATCCCCTTTCCCTTGGGTACCCCGTATGCCTTCAGACCAGCCTGACCCAGGGATTCAAACCAGTGGTCGGCCATATGGATTCCAGCCTTGCAGGCACTTGCATTACTGCTGTGCCACAGAGGCTGCCCCCTGACCTTCCTTTAAGGTACTGCAACCCCCGGCATTCTCATTCCTCTGTCCTGTGTCATTTTCCCCACTTACCTATCACCGTGTGACTTCCTGCATATGTTTCTTGTCTCCTGTGCTCGTTTGTCTCCCACAGGACAAGGATCTCATGGTTGTATCTCCAGTAGCCCAGTAAGTGTTTGTTCAAGAGAATAAATTAACTTGTAGAAAGAATTAATAAAAGCGTTCACTGGGCTTAATTTTGTTCTTTGTTTTTGTTTGTTTGTTTTGTTTTGTTTCTGAATTTGCCAGAGGCTGTGTGCACTTGCCAGAGAGAAAGAGAAACAGAGAGGGAGGGAGCACCCCGCCCCCATGGGGAATGGCCATACCACAATCCTTTCTCCTCCATTTCTCCCTATTTTAGGGATGTTTGACCTGCAGGCGTACACTCCTGGTGTATTTTTCAAGCTGCTGGGTCCAGACTTGAACCTCATAGTTGGCCATGTGGAATCCAGCTCCCTTAACCATCAGGCACAGGCTGGCCTCACAGACCTCAATTTTACCCAGTACCAACCTGTCTCGCCGTTATGCCCTTGGCTTTTTTGTATTCCATTACTGCAGGTATTTGGTCAATTTCTTCAATATTCCATAGTCTCATGGTCCTATCCTAAAACAGATCAAACAGCAAATCAGCAGTCACAAAATAGGCAGAGAGACATGCATACAATGGACTAGCGTTCAACAATAGAAATGAGCTGTCAAGCCACAAAAAGCAATGGAGATGGGCCAGCTGGTGGTGTGGCAATTAAGGCACTGGATCTCACATGGCTGTTCGAGTCCTGGATCCAGCAGCTTGAAAATCACACTGGGTATATATGCATGGGTTCCCAAAATCTCAAGAGGAAAATGGAGAAGAGATTGCAGTATGGCCATCCCCCTGGGAAGGGATTTCACTCTGTCTCTCTGTCTCTCTCTCTCTCTGTCTCTATCTCTAGAGAACATACACACCTTCTAGCAAAAAAAAACTAAAAAGAAAAGAAAAAGGCATCTGGCAGGTGGGATGGTGACTAGGGTGGTGGACTCCCATATGGCCTACTGCAGTTCAAGTCCCAGACCTGGCGGCTGCTTTCTCACTTTCTCACTTTTTTTCTTTCTCTTTCTGGTCAAATTACATAATGATAATAATAATAACTAACAAAATTAAATAAATAATTATTTTTTAAAAATAAAAGAAAAATGGGACCAGCCGATGGCACAGTGGTTAGAGATCCAGGATTCCTACATGGCCGACCATGGTTCAAGTCCTGGACCCAGAGGCTTGAAACTCACTCTGGACACATTTGTATATGTGCCCAAAATCCCAAGAGGAGAATGGAGATGGGAATGCAGCATGACCATCCCCCCGGGGGGTAATTTCTCCGTTTCTGTCTCTGTTTCTCCGGCAAGCACACACACCTTATACAAAAATCTCTCAAAAGAAGAGAAAACTACGGGCCAGCAGGTGGCATGGTGGGTAAGGGTGCTGGACTCCCACATGGCCAACCATGGTTCAAGTCCCGGACCTGGTGGCTTTCTCACTCTCACTCTTTCTCTCTCTCTCACTCTGCTGCTCTCTGGTCAGATTAAAATAAATAAATAAATAAATTTCAATAAAACAATTCTTTTTTTAAAAAAAAAAGAAAAGAAAAATAAATGGAGAAAACTTATGTGCATATTGGTGAGCTAAAAAGTCCATCTGAAAAGGTTAAAGACTGTATGATTTTGGGACCAGCAGTTAGCGTAATGGCTATGTCGCTGGACTCCCACGTAGTCGACCGCGGTTCGAGTTCCGGACCCGGTGGCTTAAACTCACGCTGGGCGCATGTGCGTGCGTGCCCAAGATCCCGAGAGGAGAATGGAGAAAAAGGGATTGCGGCGTGGCCATCCCCCCTGGGGGGTGATTTCCTGCTTTTTATCTCTCTGTCTCTCTCTGTCTGTCTGGCGAGCGCACGCGCCCTGTAGCAAAAACCTCTCCAAAAAAAAAAAAAAAAGACTGTATGATTTTAATTGTATGACATTCTAGAAAAGTCGAAACTCTGAAAACAGTAAAAAGATCAGGGGTTCAGGGGGAGGAGGGGAGGGGGGACAAAGAACCTATCATACAGTAGCCTGTACGTTACTGTTATAATGCATCACGTAAACACAGAACAATAGGACACGAGTGAAACGACGTGAACAATGGACTTTCATTAATAGCCATAGTAAATCCAGAGAGAAGGCAGTCCTGACGACACTTTGATGTTAGCCCAGCAAGGCCTTCCTGGGCTGCAGAACTGTAAGACATTGCATTTGTGTTGTTTAATGTTTAGCAGTGCAGTCTTTGACCATGTACTACAGCAGTAATAGGAAACAAATACACTAAGAAACTGTTTCCAGACTCAGCAGTTGCAACTCAATGTCCTACGGGGGAACAAAAGAAAAAAATCTGGCAACAGATGTGTTGGCCCCTTGCAATGGAGAGCGGTCAGATTTTAGCAATATCATACTTTCTACAGTATGTGAAGTGGTTGTCCAATCACAGTAATAATAATAAGAAGAAAAGTTCCCCCTAACTCTTAGGTACTTCAATTCAAAAGTTAGAGTTTTATTTATTTATTTTTGGGGAGGTTTTTGCTATAGGGCGCATGAGCTCACTAGAAAGACAGAGAGAGACAGAGAGACAGAAAGCGAGAAATCACCCCCACCCCCAGGGGATGGTCACACCACCATTCTCCTCTCTAGATCTTGGGCACACATGGACATGCTCTTGGTGTGAGTTTAAGCCACCAAGTCCAGGACTCAAATCGCGGTCGGCTACATGGGAGTTCAGCAACATAGCCATTATGCCACCTGCTGGTCACGAAAGTTAGAGTTTTAAATAGTCTTCTGGATTTCTGTAATTTTTTTTTTTTTAAGGTTCTTGTCATAGAGTGTGTGGGCTCACTAGAGAGAGTCAGAGAGAGGGAAGTAAGGAAATGTTGGCATTTGGCATTTCCCCCCACTCCCATGGGGATAGTCATGCCACAATCCCTTCTCCATTGTCCTCTTGGGATTTTTGACATGCAAGCATATGTGCCCAGCATGACTTTCAAGCTGCCAGGTCCAGGGCTCGAACTGCAGTTGACCAAGTGGACTCCAGCACCTTAACCACTGCATCACCTGCTTGCCCCTCTGTGAAGATTTTTTTTTCTTTGCTAAGTGCACATGTTCTTGTCAGAGAGAGAAACAGACAGAAAAAGAAAGAGAGGGGAAGTGAGAAAGTACCCCCCAGAGGTGATGGCCACTCCACAATCCCTTCTCCATTTTCTTCTTGGGATTTTTAACACACAAACACAAAAATGCACGCAATGTGTTTTTTAAGCTGCCTGGTCTGGGACCAGGATACAGCCTCCTTCACCTCCACATCTCAGGTCGGCTTCCTCTATGAAGATTTTTTTTTTTTTTTGAGAGGTTTTCGCTATAGGGCGCGTGCGCTCGCCAGAAAGACAGAGAGAGACAGAGAGCTAGAAAGCGAGAAATCACCCCCCAGGGGGGATGGTCACACCGCAATCCCTTCTCCTCCATTCTCCTCTCGGGATCTTGGGCACGCACGCACACGCGCCCGGCGTGGGTTTAAGCCACCAGGTCCGGGACTTGAACCACGGTCGACTACGTGGGAGTCCAGCGACATAGCCATTACACTAACTGCTGGTCCCTCTATGAAGATTTTTAATGAAACTTCTGAAAACGTTACACAAAAGCATGTTGATATTAACCCAAATGCAGACTGGATCTTGCTCATCTAGCTACGTATTCAGCAGCCAGTACAAATGCAAACTGCATTCATTCTATAAACTCCTTGCCAGATAGAATGAAAACCTATATGGCCTGCACACCTTCTATATAACACTCCTAAAAAAATCTGATTTGCTTAATTGTGATGTTGGGTTTTTCATAATAAAAGTTTCTTGGCCATTTTTCACCTTCCTTGAAGATTACAGAAGCACTTGGGGCCAGCAGGTGGCATAGTGGTTAAGGTGCTGGACTCCCACATGGTCAACCATGGTTCAAGTCCCAGACCCAGAGTCTTGACACTCAAGCCAGGCATGTATGTGTGCATGCCCAAAATACTGAGAGGAAAATGGAGGAGAAGGGATTGCTGCATAATCCCTGCGGGGTGATTTCTTGCTTTCTGTCTCTGTCTCTCTGGTGAGCCCATATACCCTAAATCTCTCTGGTGAACACATACACCAAAAATCACTCAAAAAGAAAAAAGTTTGCAGAAGCACTTAATTAAAATTTTGGTTATAGAAATGGAAGGTGATATCTTCCTTAAACATATGACTATAATATAGCTTTTATCAGTTTTGGTCATAGAAAAGATGTTAGATGTTGGCCTGCTATAAACTCTATTTTGTTTTTTGGTTTTTTTTTCAGTTTGCTATAAGGCATGTGCACTCACCGAAGGGAGATAGGGATGGCCATGGTGCAATCCCTTCTCCACCATTCTCCTCTCAGGGTGTTGGGCACGCACACACCCACGTGCCTAGTGTCTCTCAAGCTGCTAGGTCTGAGACTCAAACTGTCAGCCATGGGGGATCCAGCTATCCTACCCACCACGCCACTTGTTGGTCCCATAAAATTGTACTTTAAAATCGTGGACTAGAAAACTGTTGCCTGATTTTGAAATACATTGAGGATGAGAATACAGAGAAGGATTTCAGTAACACAGAAACTTAGATGTTGTCTTTCCAAGTCTGTTGGTGATCTTTGAAGAGACCATAACAAAATGAAAAAAAAGGATGACATGATTGCACCTCAGTTGTGACTTTTGGAGTACGTTGTAATGAAGATTCATGCGATGAAGAGATTATTCAATGTTCGGAAATAAGACTGAAGTAGTCTTTTTTAAATTTTTTTGGAGAGGTTTTTGCTATAGGGCGCATGCACTTGCCAGACAGAGAGAGACAGGGAGACAGAAAGCGAGAAATCACCCCTCAGGGGGGATGGTCACGCTGCAATCCCTTCTCCTCCATTCTCCTCTTGGGATCTTGGGCACGCACGCACATGCGTCCGTGTGAGTTTTTTTTTTTTTTTTTTTTTGGGGTGTTCTTCACTGCGGGGGGGGACAGAGAGAGACAGAAAGCAAGAAATCACCCCCCAGGGGGGATGGCCACACCGCAATCCCTTCTCTTCCCTCTCGGGATCTTGGGCACGCAAGCACACATGCCCAGCGTGAGTTTTAAGCCACCGGGTCCGGGACACGAACCGCGGTCGACTATGTGGGAGTCCAGCGACATAGCCATTACACTAACTGCTGGTTCCCTGAAGTAGTCTTTTTTTTTTGGAAAAAAAAAAAAAAGTCAGGAGAAAAAGGCAGCCAAGTAGAATAGGACATTCTTTTTTTAAAAAATAATTTTTTATTACTTTAACTTTATTTATTTATTTTAATTTTATCAAAGAGGGACAGAGTGTGAGAGAGAGAGAGAGAGAGAGAAAGCCGACAGGTCCAGGACTTGAACCTTGGTTGGCCAACACCCTTAACCACCACACCACCTGCTGGCCCCATGGAATAGGACATTCTTGATCTCGTACTAAAACTGTAGCTTATTTGGGATCCAACTTCAATATCACAAGTTCAGATTACTTCTGGGCTTTATAACCGTTTTC